CCTACTCACACAAAGCTACTTGTGCCTTTGTTCAGCCCTGTCATCCTTCCCTTTACTTTCTTGGTTCAACTCCCTCCCTGTTTGTTACTGGGCCACCAAACCCAGGCAGGGCTGGCACTGTGGCACAGCCCAGAGCACGGCAGCACATGCTGCCACCCGCTTCCATTTGGTCCTTCCCTAATAACTAACCAGCAATTTGCCTGATTTGACTGACACAAGCTCAGAGATGGCATTTTCACTGAACTACCCACAGCGCTGGGAGGTCACTTTTCCCGAGTAGGAATATGAAATTAAAGGTCAGTGTCATGGCTCTGTGTGTTCTCATCGGTGCTACTGGGATTTGGAAACCTTCACCTGCCATTTTGCCCCCCAGCCACTGACACTGTGAAATTCTCCACACTCATGGGAGCCACAGCTCCTAAGGGGGTACAGACCCAGCCTGGCACGCTCTGTGAGAAGAGTCCCCCAGAACCCAAGCACCAGCACGGCAGGAACAGCTGTGAATGTGCCTTCATGTGTGGGCAGAACACACTCAGCAGCCAACCCTTACACACATCTACTTCTAAGAACACCTTCCCTCCCTGGCTTTCTCAAGCTCCTAAAATTCCATATCCTATTCTTTAGGAGATGGCAAGGATTGCCCACCCTGATGCCAGCAGCAAGACATGCCCCTGGCCCCCCATGTCCCACTCAGGTGGGACACAGCCCTTGGCACCTCGTGCCCCAGCCTGGCCTCCCCAGAACCGGCCACTTCCCTGCTGGAAGGAATTTAGTTTTGAGCATTTGTCCCAGCATCCTAGTAGGGATCAGACTGGGAGTGCCCGTTCCTGCACTGCCTCTGAAGAGCTTCAGCTGTCCCTTCGGAAAGGAACATTTATTAATATTAATACTCTGCATCATGTCAGACCTTCTCCTGTATTTCTGCTCCTCCCCAAGCACCTTCCCTGCCTGTCCTGCTCCCAGCAGTGAGGCAGCTCCACAGGCAGGGCCTGTGCTGCTGGGTGTTCCCCAGCACAGCCCTGGTGTGGCTCTAATGGATTGGTGACACCGTTATATTTATCGGTATTTCAGGAGAAAGGAAAAGGTTACTGGGTGTTCATATGCTCTTGTTGTATTATTTAAGAGAAGCCATTTGAGAGCACAGGAGAAGCAGTGTCTGCTCCCAAAAGGAGGGAAAATAATGGAGGGGAATATTTGCAAAAAGCTCAGTTGAGTAAATATTTTATGCCAAATAATGTTATGGCTTTTGAATGATGCATGTGAGAGAGTTGAAAGGAGGTGAGGCACAGAGTGAGGAGCGTGTGGTGAGCATGGAGGTGTTGGTATGGGGAGAACACAGTGCCCTGGCTGGTACCTCTCACCCTGGCAGGGCTGTGCCACTCACAGGAACTGCGGCTCCCTGCATGGGAGAAAAATCAGCCTTGCATGGGAGCAGGGACTAGGGAGCAAAGCACAGGGAGACAGCAGGCAAAGGGACTGCCTTGGGCCAGAAGGAAAAGGCAGGCAGGGGAAGAGGAGGAAGGGCAGTCAGTGTGGTGGTTTGGGGGTAGGAGAGCAGGGCCAGCACAGAGGAGGGACATTTCCCTGGACAGAGGAATTCTCCTCCCAGCAGGCACAGGGTGAGCATCTGGCACAAGGGGAGCACAGAGAGGGGTAAAATACGATTAAGTGTAATAAGAAATGTACTTAATCAATGAGCTCTACAGCTGAGGATCAATGGAAGGCAGACACAGCCATTAGCTAAGAAAACTGAGGAAGAGCCACGGGCTCAGATGGAGAGGTCGATGCCAGGATTAACTGAGCAGCAGAGGAAGGGTCCCAAGTGGAGAGCAGAACCAGGCTGTGGCCACAAGGCAGGACTGACCTTCTCTGCAGGTCTCAGACCCCAACAGGGAACAGAAAGAGGAGCCCAGGCTATGGGCTGCTGAGGAGTCTCATGCTGAGCCCTGGGAAGCACCACGGACCCTGGGCAGGACATGAGTATTTAGCACCAGGGAATGGGACTGATGATGCCAGGGAAAAGAAGGGTCTTGGACCCCTCATCATCCTCCAGGGATGTTGCATGGCTGCAGAGAGCAAGAAACAGGGTTTTCTGCCCTGCTCTTGTCCTTTTGTCTCTCTGCTCACCTTGAGCACTGGCCAGACTGCTCCCCAGGGCCCCCCACATGCAAGAAGCTCAAACCAGACAGCAAAGAGGTCACCCTCCCAAGAAGGGGCTGCACCAACCCAGGTAAACAGAGCTGCTGCTGAGTCAGGGCTTGCCCAGGCCCCAACCTTGAGTGATGTCCCAGTGCATCCCTGACCTGGCGTGCCTGGAGCCCGTCTGGGCGGTGCCAGCGTGTGGCTGAATCACCACACACGGGGCTTCCTCCGGAGAGAGTCTTCATTTTCAACCCATGAGCAAATTTAGCACTGGGGAAGGCAGACAGTGAGTGGGTACAACCTCCAGGGCTCTGACAGTGCTGCTGCTGAGACACTCCCCGGGCTCCATCAGACCCCCAGCTCCTCCAGCCCTAGTGCTGAACTCCAGCTCTGCGCTCCAAGGCTGTCTCTCAATCCTGACCCCCGCTAGTCCCTTCCCACACTCGCCAAAACTTGATGGTCAGAGCCCGATGGGCCCAGAGCCAGCAGGGAGAGCAGCGGGAGGAGAGACCTCGGGGACCAGGTGCAGACACAGAGCTGGCTCAGAGCATTCCAGCCCGGGGCTGTGCTCGAGGCAGAGCTACAGTGCATGCCCGGGAGGGGGTGGAAAGCGGCTGTCCCCCAGAGTTCCCCCCGGGGTGGGTTCCCTTCTCCCGCCAGGGCTGAAATCCCATCCCCGAGCCCAGGAGATGCTTCTGTTCCTCGCGGTGCATGGGGCTCGGGCTCCATCCCCATCCCGGGAGGTGTTCCCGGGGCTCCATCCCCATCCCGGGACGTGCTCCCGGGGCTCCATCCCCATCCCGGGAGGTGTTCCCGGGGCTCCATCCCCATCCCGGGAGGTGTTCCCGGGGCTCCATCCCCATCCCCGGAGGTGTTCCCGGGGCTCCATCCCCATCCCCGGAGGTGTTCCCGGGGCTCCATCCCCATCCCCGGAGGTGTTCCCGGGGCTCCATCCCCATCCCGGGACCCCCCGGGTCCCCCCGTCGCGGTCGCACAGCGCCACCTGGCGGCCGGGCCGGCGCACGGCAGCGCTGGGGATGGGGGGGGTCCCGGGGGTCCCTCCGGGGGTCCCTCCGGGGGTCCCTCCAAGCCCCCGCGCTCGGTGGCCCCGCGGCTCCGGCCCGTGGCAGGTGCCATGCAGAGCGTCAGGGCTCGCCAGGTCCCGCCCGGCTCGTTACTGCAGGGGCTCAGGGAAACGGGAGATTTGGGGGGGGGGGTCTCTGCAGCCACCCCTGCGCTGCTGAGCGGGTCCAGCTCCGGGGCCAGACCTGCACGGACACCGCACTGCCTCATCAGCTCCCGCAGATCCAGGACTCTCGGGAACAACAAGGGAGCCGTTTCTCAGGGATAAGACCCAAACTGTTGCCCGCCGGTATCGGCATTCATGTCCTGCCCAAGGAGCCCCCCGCGGCACTCAAAGACTCTTCTCCCACCTCCTTCCTCTTTTCTAACCTTTCCAAGCTGCTTGGCCGGAGCACCTTCCTCTCTCCATCTGCTTCAGGGCTCGGGCCAAGTCCGGAACTGCTCCTGGTTCCATCCAATGCCCTGTCAGTGCTGCCCTGCTCCTGATCTCGGGGCTGTTACAACACTCATCACTCCACCCACCTGTCCCAGGCGCATCCCAGCCCCAGCAGCTCCACATACCTCCCCCCACAGTCACCCCAGACCCCCCAGGCACAACGCTCCTGTTCTGCTCATGGGGCAGCTTTAACCACAAGATCCTGGCACAGGATGTTTTAATGATGCTGATGAGCTTATCTGGTCCTTGGTGCTCAGCAGCTTCGTGCTGGGAGCACAGAGGGGCACTGAGGACACTCACTCCATATCTGAGCTGGGCAACCCTGGTTTGTTCAGTTCCCTCCTCATTCTCCTGCCACCTTCTCTCTCCCTTTTCCCTTCCATCACCTTCTTTCCACAGCATATGCAACACCTGAGCCATTGGAGTGGGGCAGGGCAGAGCTGCTCCAGGCAGGACAGTGGGATGAGCAAAGCAAAACACCCACTTGCTTTCCATCAGCTCATCCTCCACGTTATATCCGAGTGCACCAGAGCCAGCTGTGGCTCAGCCCTTCCCAGGGGGATGAAGCCACCCACCCAGAGCCCCCACAGTCTCCCACCTCTCCTGCAGTGGCTCAGATCCAGGGCTCTGCCATCCTTCCACTTCCCAGCATTTCCTCCCTCTGTGCTCAGGCAGAGCAGCACCAAAACGGCTCTGAGAGAGTGGGAGCTTTTATAACAAGTCCTTCAGCCCCCTCCTTCCAGCAGGGCAGGCTCAGCAGCAGAGCCAGCCCAGGTGCTGTCTAGTTCCCTCAGTTCCATCACCAAGGAGCAGCCCAGGCCATGGTGGTAACAGATCCCCACAAAACCAAGTGACCCCTCCTGTGGAACAAAGTATGACATTCCTGACTGGCATCCAGGTGGCACCCTGGGAAATCTGCAATCTGATTATCCCTTTGAAAATGAAAAAATAAAGAAGGAAGCCTGCCCAGCCCCTGCCTGCCCAAACTACTCCCTGGCACTGCCCTGCCCATGTGTCCACATGCCCCAGGGAGCTGTTTGCCCTTGGGGAGCTGAGCACATCGCTTTTTTCAAAGGCTGGAAATAGGCTGGGCCCACAAGTGGGGCACTTCCACTGGTGGGTAACTGCTCTGGGTTTGTGGTCTCTATTTCTGAGCCCCTTCATCAGTCTTCACAGAGTTAATTGGTGTACAAGTGCAGGATGGACAGTGCCAGCCCCCACGTGCTTAGCAGGGACCACGGTCCCCAGTGAGCTGCTAGAGCTGACAGCTGGTGGTGCCCTCAGAGCTCATTCCTGTTCTCAGGAGTGTTTCCAAGGCTGCAGGATCAGTGCTGTCAGCATGGAGCCCGTGCTCTGGAGGATGCTGAGCAGGGACACAGTGGGCCCAGAGCAGACCCAGCCCCTCAGGCACATCCGCCCACGGAAGGAGCACGGTGGGGCGTTGTCAGTGCAAAATCAGCCGTTTCAGGTGGAACTCGCGGTGTCCTCAGGCAGCACGGCCAAAGGTGATGTTCCTTATCGGTGCCTTGTGCTCCTCGGATACCAAATATCAAAATGTGCTTTGAAACATTCCTGATATCAAATATTCCTTGGAGATTAGTGCAGTGCCTCCTTCTAGCTCATCTCTTCCCTGCCAGCAGAGCTGACGAACACGATACGTTATCAGGACCTTCCCGTGCTGTTAGCAGTGGCACAGGGACTCGGTGACCCACCTTGGAACAGCACACTGAATATTTAGGAATTTCCTGAGCTTAGGAAATGATAACATCTTTATCATGTGAGCCCTTTAAACCCTCAGTGCTGCCAGGAGTCTCTGTCCTCAATGAAGGACGATATCGGACCCAGGGCACTGATAAAAAATAGTTCCCTGAGTAAACAGCAGTGTCAGGCTGGAGAGAGGAGTGCTGGGCTGGGAGAGAAGGGTGCTAGACTGCCAGCAGTCCAACACTGATGCCTTCCATTAGCAGAAGGGGTTGGCTCAAGGCACAGGGCAGGATCCATCCCAGCATTTCCACTGTCTGCAAACAGAATATCCAAGGCTGCACTCCCAGCTGGTGTTGGTCATGAGGTCCCTGGTGTTTGGATCACTCACTGTCCTTGTAAGATTATCCTGTGTCACACACACAGGGAAAGAGATGCTGATGCCCCCCAAGGAATTAGTCCAGATGGGAACACTGGGGATGCTCAGGGCTACAGAGAGACTGTCATTCGTCCAGGAAGGATGAACCCATGTGCCTGAGGATCCTCTGCCCAGCTCAGCCTTGGAGAAAAACACCAAGGAACGACCCCACACAGTGCTGGGGAAACTGGTGGAGATGGCCCTGCTTGGTGAGGAGGGGATGCAAAGCACCGAGGAATAAATCTGGACCTGAGCAAAGGGAGAACAGCAAAGACATAAAGGCTGGGAGTGCAGAGCCCAGGGAACTAAGGCAACCTCTGTTATATAACTCTACAAATGCCTTAAACTCAGTTTTGCTGAGAAATGAGTCGTCAGCAATGATTAAACCCCAGAGAAGCCATAAACCAGCAGATACTGATAAAATGGGACACTGATAGGGTGAAGCTCAGCAGTGTGTAAGTGGATGGGGGTCATCCATGGTGAGCAACAGAACCCGGGCAGTGGGAGCTGGGCTAATGGAATACAGGGGCTTCAGAGCTGGGCTCGCCCTCTGGAGCATCTCTGGGGGTTGGTGCATGGCCAGGATCCAGGGAAGATCCTCCTTCCCCGATGTTCAACTCCACAAAGCCACACTGGAGAACCCTGGGTAAATCCAAGCTCCTCCCTGACCCTCTGAGCCCCCATCTTGAGGTGGACAAGCAGCCCTGGGGGGGTGAGTCGCCTTCTGAGGACAAAATGCTGACCACAGGCCAGGGCACTGAGAGCCAGGAGTGGGGAAAGGACACCACAGTGGGCTGAGAGGGATGGTGGTGGAGACCCAGGGGCCAGGGAAGGCCAGTTCCCAGCCTCCTCCCACACCAGCAATCCTTTCCATCCATGCACACCAACGCAGCACCCACTGCCTCTGAAGGAAGGGGCAGATGTGGTGTTTGACCCATCAGGAAATTTAAGCTAATGTACTGCAGTGAGACACAAGCAGAGAGGCTCTGATCCGAAGTGCTGGCTGAAGCCACGCACCCGATCAGCAACTGCAAGATTAGATAAGGACTGAACTTAGTCCCATCCCACACATATTAATGGGAGCCCTCCAGGCAGCTGGGCTATTCCAATTCAAGGGCACGAAGATGCTCCCATCACTGGGGCTGCTCTTTGCTGCCCTCTCCTTAGCCAGATGCATCCCCCTGCAGCAGGCACCCACCCTGCAGCAGGCACCCACCCTGCAGCAGGCACCCACCCGCAGCAAACTCCTCCTGGTGTCCTTTGATGGCTTTCGGTGGAACTACGATCAGGACGTGGACACCCCCAACCTCGACACTATGGCTGCAGATGGGGTGAAGGCCAAGTACATGACTCCTCCCTTCATCACCCTCACCAGCCCATGCCACTTCACGCTGCTGACCGGTGAGTAGCCCAGCAGCAGGAGCTGCGAGGAGGGCTGGGGAAGGGCGAAGTCAAGGCTGATGCATCAGTGAAGGACACGCTGTCAGGAGCTCCAAACTCAGCAGCACAGAGCTTTAGAGCAGAGAAAAGGCAAGGGCTGCAAAAATGGTCGAGTTAAATCAGCTGGGGGAAGAAATTCTTCCCTGTGAGGGTGGTGAGGCCCTGTGGCAGCTGTGGCTGTCCTGTACCTGGAAGTGTTCAAGGCCAGGTTGAATGAGACTTGGAGCAGCCTGGTCTAGTAGAAGGTGTCCCTGCCCATGGAAGGAAGGTGGAATTGGATGGTTTTTAAGGTCCCTCCCAACTGAAACCACTCTGGGATTCCATGAAGTGAACCTGTATTTATCAAAGGTAAATAGTGCCAGACCAACCCCATAGCCTCCTCTGGTAAGATAAATTATTTTTTGAACAAGGGAGATGCTCTGAATTTAATCTCTTTGGACTTCAGTAGTGCATTTGATACAGTGCCACATGGGAAATCATTAGTTAAGACAGAGAAGATGAAGATTAGTACAAAATCTGTAACGTGGGGAACTGAGGGGCTACGGGAAGAGGATGCAGGGGATGCTGAGAGGAGATTGTCAAGCTGGAGAGAGGGCACCAGGGGAATTCCTGAAGAATCGATTTTGGAGCCAATCTTATTTAAGATTTTAATTAATAACCTTGGCATAAAAGAGTGGAGCATGCTAATGAAAACTGCTGATAGGCAAAGGCAGGGAGGCAGCGTCAATATGAGGGAGGACGGGGATATCACACAGAAGGGATTGCACAGTCCTCGGGACCACTGTAATAAAAATGGCACAAAACAGAAGAGTCAAAGTACAAATCTCTCCCTTCTGATGGGAACTTCTCCTGTTCACTGACCTCAAGGGTTTAGATCAACAGAACCTGCCCATGCTGAGAGGGCAGGAGAAACTGCAGGTGGCACCGGTGCCTGCCTTGGTCCAGGTGAGACCCACCAGGCGCCAACCCACATCCGTGGGAAGCAGCATTTCCCCAGCATCTCCTTCCCTGCCCCAGGACCCCGCTTTGTACGAGGTAGTGGGAGAAAGGAGCAAAGGGAGAGGTGGGAGGGGGAGGTCGAAGGTCCCCTCTGACCAAAGCAAACCCATCAGCCAGCGCAGGAGTGAGACCTCCCCGGTACAGTCTGGCTCACCCCCTCGTCTCTCCCACAGGGCGATACCTGGAGAACCACGGGGTGGTCCACAACATGTGGTTCAACACCACCACAGGTGTGAAACTGCCCTACTACACCACACAAGGCATAAGCAGCTGGTGGGACAATGGCAGCCTGCCCATCTGGATCACTGCCCAGAGACAGGCAAGTGAGGCACCTCCTCGCACAGGCACAGCCCACCTGCCATCCTGCAGCATCATCCCTGGTGGCTGTGAGTTCCCAGCCTCCCTGAGAATGTCAGGCTAATTAGACCAGCAAAAAAAGGAAATCCCCAGACACTGGCAGGAATAATTATGATCATTCTATTAAAAATAGCAAAAAAGAATAGATGCATTTCAGCTTTATTAAGACATTAATGAAACAGGTTATACTGTTCCTGTTTAAAGAAGCCTCAGCCCCTGTTCCTCAGAGAACATCCTGAGTCCAGGGGCTCCACACACCTCAGGGCACACCCAGGGCAGGAGGGTGGCAGCCCTGGGGGCCACTGCCCTCTTCCCTGGGGACTGCAGCAAGCCCAGCAGGCTTTGAATCTGGCTTTAAGACAGGACCTGAGACCTGGCCGAGACATATCCCTTTTGCCCATATTTACCTGCCAAATTGACTCCTCTGACTTCAACAAAACACAACTTAATGTCTTGATCATTGATCAAGAACCAGAGGGCCCATGCAAGCTGCAAATGGGTCACTGGTTCCAAAGTTCTAACTGGTATTACTAACACAGTGAGAAAACCAGTATGACAGGGCAGTGCTTTCAGTTAATCACTTCTAATTGGCAATGAGCAAAAAAACCTCATTAGAGGCAGTGGTAGACATTGGGGGCTGAATGAACTAACCATGTTAGGAGGTGGCTGCACTGACAGATGGAGGGACACTGCCAAGTGAGTTCAGGGGAGTTTATGGAGTGTCTCCACTCACAGGGCTTGAAGACAGGCTCTATCCACTTCCCCGGAGGAAGAGCAAAATACCAAGGGGAAGAAGTGAACAAGAAGTTGGTGGAGCCCCCCATATTCAACTACAGCAACGAAACCAACTGGAGGCAGAGCATCGACACGGTCATGGAATGGTTCACAGTGGACAACCTCGACTTCATCGCTCTCTACTTTGGAGAGCCAGACTCCTCAGGACACAAGTTTGGCCCTGATTCCACACAGAGGAAAAACATGATCAAGCAGGTGGACAGAACCGTCGGTTACTTGAGGCGGCGTATCCGGGAGAGTGGCCTGGAATCAAAGCTCAACCTCATCATCACGTCTGACCACGGCATGGACACCGTCATAAAGACCGATGAGATCCTTATCCGGGCCATAAAGAACTTCACATTCAAAGACATCGACTTTGAACTCTTAGATTATGGACCAAATGGACTCCTGGTGCCAAAAGAAGGGAGATTAGAGCATGTGTACTCAGTCCTGAAAGACGCCCACCCAAAACTGCACGTGTACAAGAAAGAAGAGTTTCCAAAGAAATTCCACTATGCCAACCATCCTCGGATCACCCCACTTGTGTTGTACAGCGATCCAGGATATGTGATCCATGGGGTAAGGTGTATGCACAGGCATATTCTGTCCTTGGGGACGAGTCTCTCCCCTCCTCTTCCTCTCACAGCACCCCAGCACTCACCCACCTTTAGGCCTTTGTGCTGATTGGTCTCCCTAAAACAGATTGAAATTCAAGCTCTTTGAGTAAAGATCTTCTCTGCTGTTGAGAAGATAACATGTCCAGAAGCCTTGGGGTAGGACTTGCATGAATGCAAATATCTGTGTCAGGATCCTCTCCTGGCCTGGCACGAAGGGGAGGTCCAATGTTAAGGCCAGCACGCGTGTGCGAGGCAGGAGGCGCGGGGGCACCCAGCAGTGCTGCTGCCCCCTGGGGCTGTGCTGGGGGTGGAGGGGTCGGGGTGCTCACATCCTCACTCTTCCCTCCAGAGGGTCAAGGTCCAGTTCAATAAAGGGGAACATGGTTTCAACAACGAGGATATGAACATGAAAACCATCTTCCGTGCCGTGGGACCGGCCTTCAAGAAGGGGCTGGAGGTGGAGCCCTTCGAAAGCGTCAACGTCTATGCCCTCCTCTGCGAGCTGCTGGGCATCACCCCTGAGCCCCACGATGGCTCCCTGGAGGTCACCAAGCCCATGCTGCAAGGGTCGGAGGATTCTGGGGGCGAAGGTGGGCACCGGGAGCAGCAGCAGGCGTCGGGGGTGACAGTGGGCAGTGGGGGTGGTGGCAGGCACTGGGAGCATAAATGAGCATCGTGAGTGGGCCCTGGGAGCAGCGGCAGGCACTGGGAACTCACACCGGGAGCGGCACCGGGCATCGGGAGCGGCACCGGGTACCGGGAACAGCACCGGGAGCGGCTCCGCCGGGATTCCCGCGGGAACAGCGCCACCTGGCGGCCGCCGCCGCTCCCGCCCCCCGGTCCGTGCCCCTCCCTCCCTCCCCCCGCCGTCCCCTCCGCCCCTGGGAACCCCCGGCTCGGGAACCGGGCAGGGCTCACCGTGTCCCGGCACCGGCACGGGGGGTGCTGCCCCCGGGGGAGGGCTGGCACTGACCCCCCTCTCGGCCCTGCAGATTCGGGTGCTCCTCTCCCACCTGCCAAGAACCTGCCGCTGATGCTGGGACTCGCTCTCGTTTTGGGAAGCTGGGGAGGAGTTTTCTAACTGCCATCAGGTAACTGACCCCAAGGACCCCTGGAAGGACCCTACTCAAGCAGACCCGGGGTCTCCTCGGGTCCTGTGTGTCTGTGGAACTGCTGGCCACAGTGCTGAGCTGGCCGTGGCACCAGCCTGGCTTTGCTCAAGGTAGCCACCTGGCCTGGGAGCCTCAGAGTCAATCAGCACTTCCAGCCCCTGCTCCAAGAGCCCTGGTCACCCTCAGCATTGTCCTACTTGTCTTTCTGTCCCTTATGGCTGTGGACAAAAATGGGAAATGCCACCTATGCACACCTGAGCTCCAAACCCACAGCCAGGATGGGCCTGAACACACTGCTCCCTGGCAGCACTCCTGAGACCTGCCCCATCTGCAGCCGAGTTGTCTCTTGGGAGCTCTGGGAGGGATGTTGATGTATTTTGGAGAGGCAGGGAATGTGGCAGTGCCAGGGCCAGGACCCCCCCAGCTCACAGAAAACTCCCAGCCCTATAACTGCCAAACCCCAGAGCCCTGCAGAGCCTGTTCAGTTGTGCCAGACTCACAGGACCCACTCTGTAGGAGCGCTGAGGCAAAAGGCCTTCATAGAAATCGAAACTTCCCTCTGCAGGAAGCAGCCCAGGGTCCCTCAGCCAGGCTGGGGCTTAGGGGACAGGGAGCAGGACACCCCAATCCCACAGACCCAGTTCTGGCCCTTCCAGCAAGGCATTCCAGCAGCCCCAGATGCTGCAGTGCCTTTCCCCAACCCTGTGCCTCATCTCAGGGGCTCGATAAACATCTGTTGCCATAGAGACTCACTCACTGTATCAGCTTCACCCAACGAGATGAAACAAGAGCCGCACCCTCAGAAAAACAGGAAGAAAATGTTTGGCTTGAAGCCGTGCTGGGGTGGGGGTCAGGGCAGCGGCAACAGCAGGGAGGCTCTGAAAGGGGAGCGTGGCCAGTGCTGTGCACGCCATTGAAATTGATATTAATGATAACAGTGCACAGAAACCTCCCCAGTTATCCTGCCGGTGACCTTGGGACTTTCTGTGCAGGTCAGCACATCCATGCCCGTTTTACAGGGGGAGGCAGCAAGCTCCGTTGGGAAGTTGCTATCCTGGAGATCCCAGCAGAGTCTGCAGAGCTCAGAATCCAGTGGTGTCAGGCTCCACACAGCCCCACGCCAGGAGTCCTCCAGTGGGTATGGAGCAGGATCACAGCCTCATGGAATGGTTTGGGCTGGAATGGACCTTAAAGCTCATTTCTTTCTAAGCCCCCTTTCCACTAAAACAGGCTGTTCCAAGCCCTGGCCAGCCTGGCCTTGGACACTTCCAGGGATGGTGCAGACACAGCTTCCCTTGACAACCTGGGCCAGGGCCTCCCCACCCTCACAGGAGAGAATTTCCTCCTAACTGCAGTGAGGAAGGGACTGTCCTGGAGGAACACCGAACCCTGCCATACCCCTGCAAGAAGGTTTCCATTGCTTCTGAAATCCCGGAGTTTGCCGTGGGACACACTTTGGTGTGACTGTTTTCACATGGAGCAGCGGAACATAAAACATTGGGCACAACTCTCGGTCTTGATGCGTTTCCAGCACGGAGCATCGTCCGATCTCTGTGCTTCCGAGAGCTGGCCCTGCTCCTCCATCTCCCCTGCCCGTCTCCCGGTGCCGTGCCGGTGTCCGGCTGTCCCTGTCGCCGGTGTCCGGCTGTCCCTGTCGCCGGTGTCCGGGTGCCCCGATGCAGTACCGGCAGCCGGCGGCCGGGGTCTCCCGAGCCGCGCTCACAGCCCGGCATTCCCGGGATCCCGGCACCGGCGGTGGGAGCAGCTCACGGTAAACCCACGGCCCGGAGCATCTCCCCAAAGCCGTGGTGCCCGCAGTCACCAGCGGCTCGCCCAGCGCCGCCCGCTGCCCCAGGGCCAGCAATCCCCAGTGACTCCCCCAGAGAGGGACCCGCTCCTCGGTCCTGCGGGACAAAGCCTGGGAACCATCTCTGGCAGCCCGGGGCGCTCCCCAGCACCCACTGAAGCTCTGGCTGCACCACAAGGCACAGGGATGCTCCAAGGGTTGCCCTGGAGTTCCATGTCATACACTGCAATCTCCTGGTCCCCTCCTCCCCCCGACAAAACGCTCCGGGATGACGAATGCTCCAATGTCCCAGGCCAGATGGGGGAGATGGATCCTTTTCCCCGTGGGTGCAAGGAGGTTTAACCCTACAGATGCACAGAGCTGTGATAGCCTAAACTGGGTGCTGCCCCTCTGCTCCACGGCCCAGAAGCGATCCCTAGCCCAGCCTCTTTCCAGGAAAATCCAAAACTGTCAAATTTTGCATGTCCTTTGCCAGCCTTTCCCATTGCACCTCACACCTTCTGCACTGGCACCGTGGGACATTTCCACCAAGCATTTCCCAATGACAAAGCCCAAAGTCCAGCCTGCCCTTGTCCAGGCACAGCCACTGCCTGATCCCCACAGATCCCCCCGCCCTCCCATTCCCACATAATTCATTCCCCATCGCCCCCCTCTCCGGGCTGGGGGTCACACGGCAGGGAGAGCCCTGCTGTGTATTGCATCCCAATTTGCCATGCATTTCCACACCATTTGCTTCCCTTTCTTTTTCCTGCACTGGGAAGCTGCTCACTGCCCAGGGGTCCCAAGTGCTTCAGGATCGGAAGATAACAACAAACATACACGGACACATATTTATTTATGGAACACAGTGTGCAGGGACACTGCTGCCTCCAAAATGCCCAGTCTGGGGGTGGCACATGCCCCTGTGATTCCCACATGAGGCCATGGGGCCCAGACACGACGTGGTCCCTGGCCACCCCATCCTGGAAGCTGCACAGATCCTTACCCCGCTGTGGTACCCCAGTGATATGCAGATCTCTGGGCTTCAGTTGGCTGATGCCTTGGGAAAACAGCCACCATTTGCCCACAACAAACATGGCCACCATGGCCCAGTCCAGGGAGCAGCACAGCCCTTTTCTCTTCAACAGGCAAAGGAGACTTGGCTCCCCATCCCTTCCTCTGACAGCAAACCCCAGCCCTGACTACCTAAATAATGCAGGAAGTGCAGCATTCCTGGGATGTCTGGCATACTTGGGAAAAGCTACAAAATCATGTTCCACCAGATTAGTTCAGGGGTCTGACTCTCTGTTTTAAGATGCCAAAGGTTTTCATGGTGGTTGGTGAGTTTATTGGCCCTGCTGTCACTTTGCTTGGTGGGAACATGGGGTCAAGCTATTCAGTGTGTCTTCCTGGGTCTCTCTGGGAAGGTGAAGCCTGTCAGGGATGGGAAACACTGAGCTCAGCCTAAAGGCACTTGCAGATGGAGTCACAACTTCAGCAGCAGCTGGGGGAGCATCTCCTCACACCTCAGGCAGAACCTCCAAGCAGTGCAGTTCCTGTGGTGGCTCCAGCAGTGATGCCCAGGGAAGCTCCATCACTGGGATGGTCCCCTCTGGCTGACCGAGTGGAAAGGGGCCATCACAGGATGCCAGGGGACATCCCACTCTGCCAGGGGTACAAAGCAAGGAGACCACAGTAGCCTAGGGGCTGCCCAAGACCAGTTCCCAGTAAATCCCTGGGAACAGAAAGGAGATTTCCAGCCCAGGGAACAGCACAGCCCTTTTCACCCTCAGCTCCCCACCAGTGCAGAGCTGGGAACTCGGCACGTGTGGCGTGGGGGCTACACAGCATTAGAGACTGTGCAGAGCTGGCCACGAGGGACCAGGGACAAAGCTGCAAGCACAGCCCCCCAAACACTGATCATGTGGTCCACAAAGACTCCTGAATACCAAGGACTGCTCCCACTTCCGACTTCCAGCCCCTCACCAGCTCAGCAAACAGAGGATGGAGCACCTCTGCTCACATCAGCCTTCCCTTGTTCACCCTGGGAAGGGAGAGAACAGCAACCCTACCCCTGTGTCCTCATGGGGAGCACAGGGACTCCAGCACAGAGAATCCAGCACTTAGCATCACCTGAACTGGGGCTCATTCCCAACAATGTTCATCTGTCAGAGCCAAATCCCTGCAGCCAGGAGGGCCCCACATGCTCCTCATCCCTTGAGCAGCGCCCACGCCACCCTGATGCCAGAATGCACACAGCTCAGGCACACAAGGATGGGAGGTCACACAGGGCTTTTTCCTAAAATCTAAGAGGTGCTGCACACAAAGAGCCAGGCTAGTGGAAGGTAAATGCACTCGAAAGAAAAAATGCGTTGCTGTTTTACAATTCTGTTTCACCTTTGGCTAAAAAAATGCTCCTACAGCTCTCCTGGTCAGTGAACGGCCGCGGCAATTGTCAAAGAAAACAACAAAAGATAGTGCTCTGCCCAGGACAACCCCCGGCATCGACCCAGCACCCCAGGCACATCACATCCTGCAGCCCCCGAGTCACCTCCAGTCCCTAATGAAGCAGCTGGTTTCCCCTTCCCTCATGCGGGGGGTCCAGTGTGGTGACATTCCCCCCGCAGCGGGGACAGCCCAGCATGCCTGCTGCAGCTCCAAACGCTTTTCTAAACCCAGCATCGCTAAACCTAGCACCACTAAACGCGGCATCGCTAAACCCGGCACCGCTAAACCCAGCATTGCTAAACCCGGCATCGCTTACCGGAGACGGCAGTGCCCGGGGTGCGGACGAGGCCCCGCGCAGGACACCCCATGGCCCGTCCGGCTCCCGCTCAGTCCCTGCACGCCGCGGGCACCGAGGCGTGGGGGCGAGGGCAATTCATATCCCTGCGGCTCCCGCACGGTTAACGGCAGGCTCCGGGCCCGCGGAGGAGAACTCCCTGAGGTGCTGACTCATCTTCTTCCATGCCTGTAAAGCACCATATTTCATCCTTCCACGCCCACAGCGCACAACCGCCGTGCAGCAGCTCCTCACGCCGCCCTGCACGCCCCGGTGTGCGCGGTGCCGGCGCGGTCGCAGCTGCCGCACCCCCGGGAGCGCGGCTCGGGAGGGACCGTGGGCCGGGCGGTACCGGGCTGCGAGCCGGCACCGCGCGAGGATCATTGACACAACCGCTCCCG